AAGGGGGAAAGCGCCGGTAGCCCTTTCTCCTTTTCTCTCTCGCTTTCAAAATGGCCCTACCCACGATAAAACGGTCTATACATTCGCGTTCTCGGCCCGTCAGCGTTGTGCCTGTTGCATAAGTGAAAAATATAGCGCGCCCTTGCGCTTACCACATGCTTCACAGTTTTCTAAAACTGACTGATTAATTGGTTTTTGATGACGCTCGGTGAGTTTCTATTTGAAATCATATGTTTATTTCAACTAATTAAAAAAAGAATTAACACGTCTTAGTTAATTACTCAACTTATCGTCAAAAATAGCCCCCTTTATAATGACTCCCTGGTCGCATAACTCGCGTGCGCAAACCGCATTCGTTCACCTTCCACAGCCATTTTTTTAAATAAGTGTGTTCTAATTAAAAGCAAACACCCTATATGTCGTAGGAGTGAGTACAGCTAGATTAAGTGTGCAAGAAAAAAATTAAAGCTGTTTACAACTCCCTGTAACGCCAAATTAGAGCGCAGCTCTTGAGGACGAGGAGGGGAAGGTACTGAGGCTCACGTGTTCTCGGGGGAGGGGGGGTCAAGTGACCTCGGGGGGGGGGGGGGGGGGGGGGAGCGTGGTCACGTGACCTAAGGTCACGTGACATTGATGGGTTCACATCCAATGTCACGTGGGGTCACGTGACTTGGGTGTGTCACGTGACCACGGGGTCACGTGACCCCCCCCCCCGAGAATTTTTTTCCGCTAGATTTAGCGGGGAAATTTTTCCCGCTAGAGTGAAATTTTTTCCGCTAGATTTAGCGAGGAAATTTATCCGCTAGATTTAGCGGGGAAATTTGTCAGCTAGATTTAGCGGGAAAATTTTTCCTCTAGATTTAGTGGGGAAATTTACCCATAATGCTCCGCGCGGTTACGCCGACGGCGACGCCGCTCAAGCCGGAAACGGGCGCATAAGAGCTGCGCTCTAAAACTACAGAATTCAGTAATGCGATTGCTTATAGAGGTTGTGACAAGATCTAGCCCATATCACATGAACTACCATCAGCCTTACTTTCGCGTTTCGCTGAATTGTATTTAAATGTGTAACATTCTCGCGAAAGTAAGAACATCAACAATTGAATGTGGCAACTTCAGGAATAGCTCTACTATTCGCTGATTTGAATCGCGTAATTCGCAGATGAGATAAGGAGAAGAAAACTGAGAGGTTAATCTGGACGGCCTGTCTCGGTTGGCTGCTCCAAGTTGTGGCAGTGGATTGGAAGGTGAACAGAGGCGGAAACAGAGCAGGGGAGAAATGATTAATTAACACCCGCCTTAACCTGCGTATTTAGCACAATAATATTTCTAATACAAAACCGATAACATGCGATGCACTCCTAAAATTGTGGGAAATCACATGCCAGACGAGAAAAAATTAAACTTCTAACAACCCGCTTCAACAAAACTATTATATTGTTAGACGTACCTAATCAGTGCCGTCATCATGCTGATTTTCAACGAAATCTATTCAGATAGCACGAAAGCAAAAGTCTATACAGAAAGCAAGAAAGCGATATTTCAGCATTTATTGATATTTTCGACCTGATAATGTCGCAGACAAGGAAATGAGGAAAAAACATAGTACGTCTATATTTACGCTTTCTATGACATACTAAAAAGTACTCTTACAAGGGTTGGAGCAAACTCACCCTTGCACAAAGCAAACAACTAAACCCCAAAAGGTCAGATTGCAATTTGTTTTATTATTTAGTGCCATGACCTGCACTCGACTGCATTTGAATAATGAAATTACGTCAGTGTTTCGTCGTTAATGGGAACGACAATTAAGTGCAAATTATAATGTGGACAACGATATGACCAGCCAACAATAAACCGATAACGCGGCTCAGCTGACTTCATTTCCGAAGCTACTCCATAAAACAACTAGTTTACATATGCATGGCACGGCCGAAGCACAACATAGCCGGAACTTTGCGTGGTCAAAGTTTTCAGTTCTGACTATCAAGATTTGTAAGCTTGGGACGTTGTCCAAGTGGGTCAGGAAGGGGAAACACTTGCTACGTGCATACAGATGTTTATGTGTCTAGAAAGCCTCGCTTCTCACCGCGACACTTTTGCGACATTTAAACAACTTGTCCTTTTAGCTTACGAACCTCTCAATAGCTTAGAGATAAGCGAAGAAGCTCCAGATTCCGACCTTCTTGCCGCATGTTCGATGCTATCAACCAAGGCTGCGTTGTGCACCACTTGTAATTATGCTGAGGGTTACATAACCGTGTCCCTTCGCTGGGACACATTTAACACAAATATGTGGGCCATTTAAACATAAACAAATGCTAAGACTTTCGAGCTGTCCTTCGTCATTCCCACCTTCTCTCCCGACTTAGAGTAGCATCCGGACATTAGCCTCGAATATTACGGGAGGCCCGCGCGACACAGTATATAAGAACCGCCACCATCGGCTAAAGGTATCAGTTTCGGATTTTGTTTCTACCATTTATACATCGAAGCCGAACCATGCTGTCAAAGGTAAGTGGTACTTACCTTGGTCTTTATTTAACTCCGCGTTTGGTGTGAATAGAAGTCATGCAAATGCGCCTTTGGTGATCTCCAGGTGATCCTCTGCTGCCTTGTTGTCTACGTCATTGCCCAGCGGGATCCTGTGAGTACCCTCTTATTTAGTGTTTGGGTCAATCCTTACAAAGTTTGCTTCGCTGAAGCTATGACGCTAACACAATTTCCTGACGTATCACTCACAGCCGCCGGTGCCATACAGCTTCTCCTACGACAACACGGACGATTTCGGTACCCGGACAACCCACTCAGAGAACAGCGATAACAACAACGCCAAGACAGGATCATACGGATACACCGACGCCACGGGCACGTACCGTTATGTCACGTACGTGGCCGACGGCAATGGTTACCGTGCCACCGTAGACACAAACGAGCCAGGCACCAAGTCTTCAGCGCCTGCTGATGTTCGCTACGACTCTAAGGCTCCAGTGGTGGCCGCTATTGCAGCGGCTCCAAGGCCCAGGGCTGTTGCCGTACACACCGTACATCACGCTCCTTTGACCCTTCATGCTGTTCACTCCACTCCAGTGCAACTGCATGCGGTCCACAGCGTTCCGGTTCTTCACCTCTCCCTTGGCCGCGCACGAGGCCGCTAAAGTTGTTCTTTCGAATCTTCGTACAGAGATCTACCTACGCCCGTTTGCCTGAGTGTAGCCTAGTGTTTTGCTGACCGAAAGCGGTTTTACTAAAGCAAAAGTGACCTCTAGCTAATCGTTCCTATACGGTCCGTATGCTGCTAGCGTGAGCTTCTAGTGTTCATGAAAGGCACTGATTATGCCAGTAGGTAGTGCTTGTATTAAGACTGCGGAAATTGCCAACTAATAGTCGCAGTGCCGTATAGCTGTCTTTACTTTTGTGTTGTATGGTGTCTTCTTTCTGTTTGGTATAAATAAAAGTGTAAAAGACAAATTTCCCTGTCATGCACTTGGGCGCCTGGCCGTTTAAAGAAGTCAAATTCTTGTCAGCTAGACGTGATTAATGGCCCGATTCCAGTGAACGGCAATGCACGAAATATAGGTTTATTTGGAACAAACGTATATGGCATTTCGTTTTCTATTTTTTTTTTTTTGGTGCAGACTGAAGTTCAAAAGCCAACGTTTGATTCGGACTTCCTCATCAATCCATTTTGCTTTGATCATCTTAGTAGCAGGTCTAAGGAATGTAAGCGAGCAATTAAACAAGCAATCATCTCTTGGAGTGCAGAATACATGGCGATGTACGAAACTAACCCCTATTTTACTACAGAAGCAGAGCCTTTACGGCTCACTGACATGTTGACAGTCACCAATAAAAACAAAAACTCAGTCAAAATAACTGTTGACAATACAATAGCACTGTGTATTCGGGTATTTGTTTATGGATTTAATCGTTCGTGAGATAATCAACAACGAAAAAATGGGAGAGGCGGAGAAGCAGCAGAGAGTATGGAGCGCACAGGGATTTTAAGCTGTAACTTCGTAATGAAACGGGACTACGCTCTTCAAGGTACATCCGAAACAAGCTGTCCTTCCTTTGTGCTTAAGTGCTTTTTAGCCTGGAAGAAACTACAATGTGGTCTTGTCAATTTCTATATATAGCTATTGATGTGAAAATCGCTGTTTTCTTAGTGAACTACGTCAATTGTGTTCTTGCTCTTGATCTCGGGAGATGTGTCCAAACTACTAAAACGTATCAATCAAAGATACCCTCGAATTAAATCATTGTTAGCTACATTTTGACCTTTGCAGGAAGACACTACAAAAGCAATAATTGAGATTGTTAGAGTGAGGCGCGACTGAATAATAGCAAGTAGAAATATGGAAAATCAAATATTTATACGGCAATACAACTTGAATAAAAACAAATGTTCTTTTCATTGAGAGTGCTTTATATGTCTCAAAAGATATGGCGCATTTAAATGTAAAATAAGCGTTATTTTAAAATAACAACTACATGTCTTCACACATGCAATTCTAACATAGCCCGCTGTATTGATCAATACCACATCAAAAAGGAAACTGAGTGCGACGGTAGTATTCTTATCGGTTATCCTCCTGCAACAATAGATTCCTTGTGCTGAAAACTTTTATGCTATTCCGGATTTCCGAAGAAAAAAATGTCCTTGACCAAGAACAAACACCCTTAGACTTATGACGGCTTGTGTTTTCAAACTTAATATTGATGAATGTAAAGTGGCAGGGATAACAATTGATAATATGAAGAGAATGCACCGCTTTGGAAAGCCGCCAAAGTAGTTCTATCGACACCCTTCAAACTAAATATCTATCAAAAAAAAAAAAAGACTCCTGTGGAGAGAGAGAAGGCGTTGGAACAACTGCCAAGACAATTTTAATTCCGTGCGCTTTGATCTTTACTATCCAGTTCGCCCTTGCCCATGCAGCGAACAGGGATGCTTGGTCCAGCAAGCACTGAAATAAATTCCTCTCCCGTACTTGGATGTGCACTATAGCACAATGGGTATACCAATCACGCTAAAGCTCATCCCTTTCTGCCCCTCTCTTTCTCCTTCACCATCACCACTTTTCCATCGTTCACGGGTGCTAGAGCGCTCGACATAGCCGCCACATATCATCAGCAAGAATTCAGACGGAACAAAGACACCCATTTGTGTCAATCTACAAGTATAATTGATTAGACACGGCACATGGCCTCGGAGAGAATGCATCTGAAAGCGGCGGCTCCGCGCTAAGATTCGCCCACATACCGTTGCGTGGCGGTTCGAGCCTCGTGCCTCACGCATCTCATTACATTCACCTACTGCCGCCTTTCAGCTCAAGAGGAGTCCGACGATAAAGTGAAGGTCGTCGGAAACACCAAAAGTGAACTAGTCCGATTCTCAAGGGTGTCAGAACGGGGCAAGCACCGTTCCGATAAAACTACACATTTTCTTTTGCGTCGATTGGTGCCTCCTCTCTCCTGGGACTTACACGAGCCTTGTTCGACCGATCATCTCGTCCGGCGACTGCACGGCACTGGTTTTCTCGACTACGCAAGTGCGAATGAAGCGTACGTGCTGCTGTAAGTTCTTCATTGTCGTCGACGTGTAGTCATCTGCCCGGTGACATCCACTGCGACGCAGAAGACATCGGGTCAAAGTCAGTCATGATCCTCAAGGTAAGTTCATCGTTTTTGATATATTAGGTATATTCTTGCTATCGCTGCAGCAATTTGGTGGGTTTATAATGATTTTTGATTCGACGTTAACTCTCAGGTCCTCCTTCTCTATATGGTGACCGTCGTTGCAGTTCAAGGTCGAGCTATCAAAAATAATGCCGAGGACAATGTGAGTAGCCGTTTGACTTTCTGAGGTATTTGCCGCGTGCTTACTTCGCATTCTTTATTTGATATTATTTAAAGTACGGATACCCCTAGATATATCCTTCTCATGAGTGGTGGAAAGTAACAATACAACTTTAGAGGTTAGGCTAGTAATTAGGGTGATTCCAAATCGACTCTCTTCTGTTGAGGAAGAAAACTGGTCGGGCAGTTGTTCGTTCAACGTATACTGTATTTCAATTAAGATGCATACTCCAATCCGTCGAACCGTTCAACTAGGGTGTAAAAAAAACTTTTGAGGTGTTTCATTGACGGCATATGATACATTGAACAGACGTTTCTAAAACTGATCGTGTCAAACATACTTCACAATCATTTATTTGACATCCTAATATCAACTAGCCTACCATTCTGCATTGATAAGTCTCATTTATTTACTTATTTATTTATAGTTAGTACCGTCAGCCATGGGCCTCTAGCGATAGTGCATAACATAAGAGGATGACGCGTCAGTCATTGTTGTAAAATAATGAAACAGAAAAAAAAAATCAGCACAACGCGAAAACGTCATGATTTTATTTTTTACTACAACCTTTGCTGTCTACCAAGCCTGAGCTCTTCGCGATGTTAAATGACTACCAACATTCCGGTTTACGCGTTATCTAACTATGTACGTCATTCATTCTGTTTAAAAAAAAATCGCACAGCTTTGTAAATCTTTTAGCGGCAAGCAACTCCTGAAGGGTCTGAGGCCAGATTTCCGAAATTTTCTTGCGACAAAAAAGTTCAAAAATTTATGTTATAAAAAGTTACAAACTTTTGAATATTCCTGAAGCAAAATGTTCGTAAGTTTTGCTTCGGGAATACTCAAAAACGTTCTTGCGACAAAAAAGTTTCGGGAATCTGTCCCCTGGTTCTTAAAATCAAAACAGAGAAATAAATAAACGGTGGCATTATTTGTTGTTTTGATGCAGGAGAAGTCCCCGTACAGTATACACTACGACCACACAGATGAGTTGGGAACTCGCATCTACAGTCTAGAGATCACTGATGCCGACAACGTACGCATGGGCACCTACGGCTACATGGACGCGAAGGGACTGTACAGACAAGTTCACTACTTGGCCGACTCCACTGGATACCACGTCTATGTCTGCACTAACGAACCCGGCACAGAAACGTCTTATCCAGGCGACGCAGTCATACATATGCACCACTGGGAGAAAGTGGACCCTGATTCTACCCTCGGGAAGCTGCTGTCTAAACTACCGCCAATTCACAACCATCCGAAGCCTGTGAAGCCCACGAGGAAGAAGAAGCATAGCCTCAAACACCTGACGAAGCCGGGAATTATGGTGAACTAGTGTTTTCCGCTTAAATTTATCGCACCAGATGAACCAGGATGCATATGCATCCTTCTTATTGGATGTGGTTTTTGGTTTTCCCTGGGTGTCTTCAATTCGTAAAGGCTGAACTCCAGGAAGCGAATTATGCGACACAACTCACGAACTTCACCCGACGGCACGCTCGCTTTCCGGGCGAAGTACCAGCCAGTGTGCTGATTCCACGCGCAGAGCAAAAGAAGCCGAACAAATTTTGTGGATTTTTTTTCGCAGCCTATTCGCCCCAAGGAGTCCATCCTTTAGACCACTGATGATATTTATGTGTACACTTTCGATCTCTTGTAAGTTCCAATCCCCACAGATATACATTCTGTCTTCAGAAACATGTCTTATTTTGTAAAGTTAGTTTTCAAGTAGGTCACTACGACATTGTCAGTTCAGGAATTTGTAGAAAGTGTCTCAGTTAGGTTTTTCTTGGGCACCTTGTGTAGTCAGACGGTGTCTATGAATGGAAAACTAACGCTCTTTATGCTAGATAAGGAAAACTCATATTTGTACACTATAACTCTATAACTTTAAAGTTAGGCATAGAAATTGGCGGAGGTTATTGTCATGGCTAAATATACTGAACATACATTTTCTGCTTGCTTGGCGGACGCATCAGCTCAAAGGTACTAACACACTGTCAAAATGTGGTTGGGCCAGTGTATACATGACGAATAATTAAAATGTTCATTTTGTAGTGTGACACGTCACACGAAATGGCCGTAATAGCTGTTTTTAACCTCGTAAAGGTCACAAAACGCAAAGTTAGCAGGTGTTTAAATATTGTTTTTGGCAGACTGCTGCGTGAAAAATAGAGGAACGGAATCGCTCCTTACGTAAGAGTTCACTGCATTCCTCTAGATAATACAACTAATACTTTAGCGACAATATAGCAAGCATCTGTAGTGGTATTATTGTAGCATTTAAGAACCCACGAATAATATATTTATTATAAGTTATAAATATAAATTCGAGTCATCTTAGTACAAATATTTAGCAGATATTAGAAATGGTTAACGCATATTTGTTCCTTGATGCTTCGCATGAAAATGTGGCACGTTATTTTTGGTGTTAAAATAAAATATTAGGTGTTGAAACTATCGCTAGTGTCAGTTCCCTAAACACTGCAGACTGAATATCTTGATTGTTAATACGAGAAGGAGGGAATTAAGACGACTGGGATGCATTTACTTAAGAGGAGAACAAAGCCAGAATAGTTGAAATTAAAAATGTCCCAATTCTTGCATATTTCCAACGTTTGGGAGTATATCTGGTTTACGTAGAAATGTAAATGATATCGTCATGCACATTCGTAAGCCAAGCACATGTTTCCTTATGAAGTGCAAAAATATTCAGTCTACAGTGTGCAGCGACTTTATAACTGCAACATGAGTATTTCCTTGAGGTGCAAACGGAACGGAAATAATTCTGCGATATCGGGTAAATCAGGTAGAGGCCTCGCTGCAAATTTAGAAACTCGGACAGCGTATTGATGTTTAGTGCCTGCTCTACGTGAACGATCAGTTTGCCCATAGTGGCTTATAGAGTCTGCCTTGGCGGTAAAGGGCTTCGCGCTTCGCGTATTTACGTTTACATGACGGTACCTGATAAAGACTTGCCATTAGATCATTGTGCTCGATCGTTTTCCAATAAATTCTAGTATTGTATCGAAGTGCCTCACTCAATATTATTGATCACGAAAATAGATTTCTGACTTTAGAGCGTAACTTTTAAACGCCCGTTTCCGGCTTGAGCCGCGTTGCGGTCGCCGTCGGCGTAACCGCGCGTTACATTATGTGAAAACTTCCCCACTACAATTAGCGAAAAATTTTCCCGCTAAATTTACCGTAAGAATTCTCCCACTAAATTTAGCGGAAAATTTTCTCCGCTGAAGTCAGTGGGAAATGTTTCCGCTACATTTAGCGGGAAATTTAGCGAAAATTTTTCGCAAAATGAGAGAGAAGTAGGAGAGGAGGAATGGAGGGTACGGAGGGGCATGCCCCCCCCCCCACACCCTCTCCGCCTCCTCCTCAAGAGCTGCGCTCTATTTGGACAATACAGAGAATGGTAAACGTCTTTCATTCTAGAGCGCAGCTGTTAGGCGCCCGTTTACTGCTTGAGCGGCGTCCGCGCCGCCGTCGCCGTCTTTGTAACCGCTCTGTGCATTATGGGTAAATTTCCCCGCTAAGTATAGCAGAAAAATTTCCCTGCTAAATTTAGCAGAATACTTTCCCCGCTAAATTCAGCAAAAAAATTTCCCCACTAAATTTAGCAGAAACATTTCCCCGCTAAATTTATCGGAAAACTTTCCCCGCCAATTGTTGCGGTAAATTTTCCCCTCCAAATTGAGCGGAAAAAAGTTTCCCCGCTAAATTTAGCGAAAAAATTTCCCGCTAAGTTTGGCGAAAAAAATCCCCTCTAAATGTAACGGAAAAACTTCCGCTAAACTTAGCGGAAAAACTTTTCGGCTAAAGTTCGCGTCACATTTTCTCCACTAAAGTTAGCGGGAAAAGTTTCCCGCTAGTTTTAGCGGAAACATTTCCCCGCTAAGTTTAGCCGAAATTAGCATAAAATTTTCCCCTAAATCGGAGGCGAGCAGGAGAGGAGGAGGGGAGGGTACAAATGAGGAGGAGGGGCATAGCCTCCTCTCCGTGCCTTCCTCTCCTCCTCCTCAAGAGCTGCGCTCTAATTCGGAGTTACAGGGGATTGTAAACGTCTTTCATTTTTTATGATACGTCTAGTAAGGCTACATATAAAAAAAACTTCGAAAAGATGATAAAACATCTCGCGTAGCTCGAGAATAGTGGGGTTACAACCAATGTTACCAGCTCCAAGGGCATGTCCCTAAACGTACGGACTTTTTGCAATCTTTTGGCTCGGTAGAGACGTAGGGACGTCCTCTAACTTTTTTATGAATTCATAAGGATTTTACAGCTTCTGTCATTTTTTATTTTTCAAATTTCTGCACACTTCAGTTGCCTTTCGCTTTTTTTGATCAAGATGGATAAGCACACCACAGATTTGTTAGGTGGTACCACCAAATTTGTTATCAGATTCCTTCCAAGGCCCTTACGAAGTCACGTTTCTACTTTAAAACAGAGCACCAAAACTGAAATTTCTTCTACGCAAACTTATTAAAACGCGGTATAAGATATTGAAAAGAGGAGGCCATCACGGCACCGGCCATAAGATGGACACCGGGCGCAGCTTGAAATCAAAAATATTAGAGTGAATCGCGTTGGTACCATGTGTATTGCTTTTTCTACTTTTCACGTGTTAGCCCTAAAAAGAAAACAACAACAACAACGCCGATCTGCTTTTTTTTTGACGTGATCACTGAACTAACAATTGCAAGTGTGAAATCAAAACCAAATAGATCGTAGAGAATACCTGCATTTTGTTTTTGTCACTTGCGTACGAATATTGCTTTAAAAGGTTACAATTGGCAAACGCATAACATATTTTTACAAAAAAGTATGCATAGTTGTTTGTAACTTGTTAAGGCGGGTTCATGAGCGGAACGACAATAAAATTCTAACGTAGATAGTTTAGGCTAAAGGTAATAAAAGCACAGAAAATGCTAATCCAACTGGGCGCGCAGTCATACATCGATCAAACGATTGTAATTCCTAAACCCAACTGAGTCTACATGTAAAAAAATAAATACAAATAACGAAATAGAAAAATGTTTTAGATTTTTAATGAGCCGAACACTACGCTAAACATTTTATTTAAAAGCCTGCCTATATGAGACTACAGCCATACGACACACTGCCAAAAATATCAATACTCAAGCCTTAAACCTCATCAAAATTGAAAACGGAAAATATTTTTTGATATCACACCTCTTCAAAAGTTTACAGGCGGAGGATTGGAAGTCGTGCGTGAACTTCATTTAAATTTACCTCATCATGCAATGCCATTGCGAAAACTAAAGGAGATTTTCTATTCGTAAGTCTACCTAGAACGTTTTTTTTTGTTGAAAAGTTGAACATGTGACTGCAATATTACACATAAAAGAAATAAACAAAAAATTATAAAGACGCGTCGTCTACCAAGTTCTTTTTTTTTCTTAATTTTTCTCGTTTATAAGAACTCGTTTGAATTGTGGTTAACTTTCCTTTTATTCGTCTCGGTGCATTAGCAGACAAGTTATTAAAAAAGTCCAATTGAATCAATATTCGAAGCACACATTTAGAAAACAAAACTTCAGTGGTTCTAGAACTATAGCCTCGTGTCTGAAGCTTGCACGTTGTTGTTTTCATAATCTAGGCATTTTCTATATGCATAGGAACTCGCGTATGATCTTTTGTGGCTAATAGAGGAACATGCAGGAGGGTGGCTGGAAGAATAAAAGAAAAACGGTTGGTTACACTGGTTACAACGGACATGGACATCAGTTAATTCTATTAAAATAAAACAAAGTATTGTCGAATATTTGCTTTTTAAAAATTATTGATACGAGTAAAGTAAAGGGTTCCTGATTTTTTTTACTTATAGATTTTGCAAATTCGAAATTCTAGAGAAGGCGGTGCCATCCAATAGAAAAAGCGTGAAGGAAAGAAGCCGGAAGCTATCGCCTGCCCTAGTGCGCTGCGAATACTCGTCAGGTCTGGCAGTCAAAATGTGAAACAGAGGACGGAAGATTAAATGCACATCATTAAAGCTGCAACTGCTGTATATTTTGGCGCTTAATCCGGGTATCTCTTCGCTGACACGGTTTAGGATTTGGTCTGCCGATAAAGGAAACCCAATGATTGTTTATACAAAATTATATATGCTTTTCACTAGTGCGTTCCTTTGATTAGCAGGTTTCTACTGTATACTAAACAAAGTTTTGATTATTTTGCAACGTCAGCGTCGACGTTGTGCCAGGCAAAAGACATCGTCTCACGTGCGTTCGCGTGTGCACCGTCCCGTGACGCCTGGCAAAGAGCGAGCACTTGGCAAGAGCCAAGTGGCACTGCCATCTATTTCTACGGTTAGTGGGGAACGACGCTACATATTGGTCACTCTCGAACCCGGTTAGCGTGTGCTATCAAACGTTAAGGAGGCCTCCACATTATGACGGCGCCTGTCTGAATTTAGTTTTAGGCAGGAACGTTGACTCATGCTCCCAGTGTATTCTTTTTCTTAGACACTTCGATTACCACAAGTCTGTGTTGCGAGTGATCGAATAAATAAAGGGTGTATACGCCTAAAATTGTCTTACTGCGGGAATTAACTGGTGTCACTATTACCTGGCACGCTGTGGCGGAAATCTGCGAATTTTGTTATTGACACTCTTTGGAATTGACCACGAATGGAATTGTAAATCATGAATAAATGTTGAAGAGGAATCATGGGTGAGATACAGTTGTTCTCACTTGGCTACTAAAAAAGTTAAACAAAAAAAAATTTTAAATATTTTTTGTTTTAGCGGAGATTTAATGGTTGTGCTGTCTGTGTGATGGACGCTTCATGAACAACTTACGATAAATTCCGTTTTGTCTTGATTTCGATGCCCCCCGCGGTGAGTTTAAGCGATCATTGCGTTTCAAGCACCTCGTACCATTCTTCATGTGATCATGGTTGTTTGTAACTTTTTTTTTCTGGCTGCAGTTTGTCTGAGAACAAAGAAACTACAACGTTACAGGAGACAACACCCGGATCAATACTGTGGTGAAAGAAACAGGTAGGAGACGGACGTTCCAAAACAACGTTCTATTTCAGTGGTGTCTCGGCAGGAACTGCTCTTCGTGAGCGCGTGAGCGCATAGCTGGCGCGCGCGTCTTTTTCTCTTTTCCTGTGCCGAGACTGGACTCCCTTGACGGTGCGTCCAGTCCCTACAGATATGCCCCCCCTTAGAGAGGAGGTAGGACGAACGATTAAAGCACACAAACATTTGAGTTCCAACGAAGTTGGCTTTTCTCTGTCGTCTGGTCGATGTCACGTAGCGCTATTTCCTGCACATGCTCTTGCTCAATAAGTGCCGGCTTTAGTCTCTCCAATGCAACGGTGTCATTCTTGCCGTTGACACGCAGGACAAACGTGTCGCTTCTCTTTTCGACCACTGGAAAAGGTCCGATGTAATGTGGCGCAGTGGCTTCTTTTGCGATTGTTGTACGAAAACATGAGTGGCGTCTTGGAGGTCCTGGGTCACGTAGGGAGACTTTGAAGTTCCTTGCCGTGTAGGCACCGGTCGCAAATTGATAAAAATTTGCTTGAGTTGCTCTACATAGTCCAACTGCCTTTGTTGTTGAGGCAGTTCCACTTCAAAAAAACCTGATGGCAAGCGAAGTGCAGTGCCGTACACCAGCTCGGCGGTGGAGCATCCGATGTCCGCCTTCAAGGCTGTCCGGATTCCAAGAAGCACAAGGGGGAGATGACGAACCCAATCCGAGGGACCACCCTGAGCTGCAAGGGCCGATTTCAAATGTCGATGAAATCGTTCTACCATCCCGTTCGACTGTGGGTGGTAGGCAGTCGTTCTCAAGCGGTTGGTTCCGAGCAATCGAGTGAGCTCGGCAAAGAGTGCCGACTCGAATTGTCGACCCCTGTCGGTGACAATCTCTGAGGGGCAGCCAAACAGGGATTCCCACGTAACGATAAACGCCTCAGCGACAGTGGCGGCGGTGATATCGGGCAGTGGGGTTGCTTCTGGCCATCGTGTGAATCTGTCGACACACGTTAGGATGTAGCGCTGTCCCTGAGAAATCGGTAGGGGTCCTACTAGGTCCAGATGGATCTTGTTGAAACGGCTGTCAGGCTGTAGGAATTGTCGACTTGGTGGTACCGGATGCCGCTGTACTTTCGCGCACTGGCATGCGATGCAGGATCGCACCCATTCACGAACGTCGGATCTTATCCGGGGCCAAACGTAGCGGTCGCACAGGAGCTTCTGGGATGCCCGTATACCCGGGTGCGACAAGCAGTGAATCGCTTCGAAAAGCTGTCGTCGCAGTTCACGTGGTACAAAAGGCCTAGGCGTTCCCGTTGACAGGTCGCAGACCACGGTGGTGCCTTCTGGAAAGCTTACATCCCGCAGTCGGAGTGATATGGATGAACTGCGCAGGGCACGCAATTCTTCGTCGGTGGTCTGTAGACGGGCCAGCAACTCCAAGTCTACAGCAGAACAGGCTGGGCTGTTCACGGCGTCAATACGGCTGAGGACATCAGCGGGGACGTTGTCAACTCCTTTAACGTGCCGAATGTCCGTTGTGAATTCGGCCAAGAAGGCTAGCTGGCGAATCTCACGTGGTGTGTAATGAGACCCGGAATTGCTGATGGCGTAAGTTAAGGGCTTGTGGTCAGTCCATATGGTAAATGGCCGTCCCTCGACGAAATGTCGAAAGTGTCGTACAGCCAAGTAGGCAGCCAATAGCTCACGTCCGAAAACGCTGTAGCGCGTTTGCGCTGGCTTGAGCTTCTTAGAAAAGAAACCAATCGGACGCCACTCTCCGTCGACTTTTTGTTGTAGCACCGCTCCTACGGCAGTAGCAGATGCCTCAGTCATCAGCGATGTTGGGGCATCATGCTTAGGATGTACTAGCATTGTTGCCTCTGCAAGTGAGTTCTTTACCTCGCCGAAAGCGCGTTCCGCATCTTCGTTCCAAGGAAGGGATGACGTTTTTCGCTCTTGTTTCGTTAGGAGGACCTCAAGATGTTCGAGCAGTTTGGCGCAGTTCGGAACAAAACGTCGGTAAAAATTTACCAAACCGAGAAACTGGCGAAGTTTGGTGGTCGAAGTCGGCCTCGGGAAATCTTTGATGGCTTGTACCTTTGATTGCAATGGACGAATGCCCGAGGAGTCAAGCCGATGACCAAGAAATTCCAATTCCGGAACTCCGAACACACTTTTCGCGGCGTTGATGACAATGCCGTGGCTGCGCAGTCGCTCGAAGAGGAGGTCTAAGTAGGTCGTGTGCTCTTCCGGTGACTTGCTGGCTATGAGCAAATCGTCTACGTACGCGAAGACAAAAGGTAATCCTCGTGTGACAGCGTCGATGAACCGTTGGAATGACTGAGCCGCATTTCTGAGGCCAAAGGGCATGCGGAGAAATTCAAAAAGTCCAAACGGTGTCGTGATCGCTGTTTTCGGGATGTCTTCTTCGGCCACGGGAATTTGGTGGTAGGCCCGCGTCAGGTCAATCTTCGAGGAGATCTTCGCGCCTTGTAGGTTCACCGTGAAATCCTGGATGTTTGGTAGAGGGTACCTGTCCGGTACAGTGTTCTTATTTAGGGTACGATAATCGCCACACGGCCGCCAGTCTCCATTTTTCTTCGACACCATGTGTAATGGAGACGCCCAGCTGCTAGACGAGGGTCGGATGATGCCAAGGTCCAACACGTGTTCAAACTCTTGGCGAGCATCGCGGAGTTTCTCTGGGGCTAGACGGCGGGGACGACAGTAAACAGGTGGTCCTGTCGTCACAATGTGGTGTTGTACGTCGTGCGAGACGGGTTTGGTCCAATCAGGTGACTGAGTAAGGCTCGGAAACTTACTCAGCGAAGTGTTGAACGCTTCTTCCGGAATCGTGCAGGCAGAGGTGTAGACTGCATTGTCGTCCGTTGCGATACCATGGATGGAAAGTCGCGTGGTGGAGTCTATCAGTCGCCTGCTTCTAACATCCACGAGGAGTTTGTAGTGGTTGAAAAAGTCCGCGCCGAGAATTCCTTGACTGACGTCGGCCACCAGGAAGATCCACCGGAAAACCCGCCGGAGGCCGAGGTTAAGGGTGATCGACCGTTCTCGGTAGACTGGGATCGCGCTGTTGTTCACTGCGCGCAGAAAATAGATTGGTGTCAAGGAACGGTCGGCACGCGTTGCTGGAACTGCGCTGATCTCGGCTCCGGTGTCGACGAGGTACCGGTTCTTGGTGGTTCGGTCACACACGTAGAAAAGGCGACTTTCTTCGAGGCCCTGACCACTCGTCGCCTCTAGAGGTCGGCCGGCCTGTTTCCCTGCCATGAACAGGGGCGGAGGCAATGCCCGGCGTTGGCACCGAAGCGGCGGTGGTAGTAGCAGACCCCGGAAGGGCTCAGTGATCGCGTGTTTTCGCCGCGTGTACGACGAGATGTCGATTCGCCGCGTGCTCGAGGAGACGTCGAACGTCTGCGATGTGACTCACGAGGGTGGGGGGTGCGGCCTCGTGTAGCTGCGACGACGATCTCCTCCAAACGTTGGCAAAGCTGCTCGATGTTGGCCTGGAGAGGCTGGCTGTTAGCGGCCGATCCAGAGTCCAGGGCTGTTGGTTGCTGTGGAGCCACGGTAACATTGGCGACGGATGGAGCGGTCACCTCCATCACGGCGTCGGCCAGCGCGGCAAGTCCGGTGAGGTCCAACGTTGTTGCTGTTGCCAAAACCATCTGGACATTGTAAGGCAGCCTTTGCAAGAACAGCTCGCGGAGGAATACGTCGTCCAGATTGTAAGAGCGCTCTCCAAGAAGCTGGGTCATGCGTCGCAGCAACTGGCTTGGCCGCCGGTCCCCGAGCTCTTCCGCCGAGAGAAGCTGCTGCACGCGGGAGCGTTCCGAAATCTTGGTGCGCTGGAGCAGAGCATTCTTCAGTTGGTCATACGGTGTTGCTGGAGAGGGATTTGTCAGAACATCGTAGACTTCGTCGGCGGCAGCTGGTGAAAGAGCCGAGACGACGTGGTGGTACTTCCGACCTTGTGTGGTGACCCCAGCGCGGTGGAATTGTGATTCCGCTTGCAGGAACCAAACTCGCGGATTGCGGTCCCAGTATGGTGGAAGGCGGACTGCGGCCGCTGCAACAGTGGCTGGCGGCGGGTCCGAAGGCTCTCCTTGCTGCATTTCACCCGTTCTAGTTGGCGATCACGTCCGGGTCACCAAATGTGGTGAAAGAAACAGGCAGGAGACGGACGTTCCAAAACAACGTTCTATTTCAGTGGTGTCTCGGCAGGAACTGCTCTTCGTGAGCACGTGAGCGCGTGAGCGTATAGCTAGCGC